TTTAAGCTAGTAATTGCATTATCTGTCAGGATAGCTTTGCTACAGCTGCTTGAAACTGTTACAACTACTGTATTTTTTAGAAAAATCATAATCTGCAGATGTTTCTATTTACTCTGGTTGCTTATCACTATTTTTTTGTGTTAGGTTTTATGGATACACTAAGTTTTACTGTTATATCAATTTCAAACAGATTGAGCTTGCCCTTTTATTGATTTCATACATATGGAGAGACTTTTTCATAGCTAATAAAGTTCTTTTGCCTGTCCCTGTTCAAGATCATGAAACTATAGAAGGTAGGATCACTGAGTCTAGCCCCCTGCCAATGCAGGAAATCTGCATCAAATACATCCCTTGGCAACTATTCAACCTCTATTTAAAAAATTCACCTTCTGAGACAATCTCTTCTGCCAGCAAACAGCTCATACTCTCAGGACATTATTCCTAATACAGTACTTAGTAAAATCTCTTTAATGCATCTGATTTTTCCTGCTTAAATGCAGAACTTAATACTGTATGTTTCGATGTTGAAACCCATCTTATACCGTATTTTTCGCTCCATAAGACGCACAGACTTTCCACCCCCCTGTTTTGTGGGGAAAAAAGTGCGTCTTATGGTGCAAAAAATACGGTAATTTTTGGCTACTTTCCCAATTTCTTAAAGTCATCCTAAATCTTGATTCTGTCTTCTTAACTACTAGCTACCCCTCCCAGTTTTGTGCCATCCATATATTTGATGAGTGTGTCCTATTCCTTCATCCAAACAATGTACAAAGAGGCTGAACAGCACTCAGACCCAGACCAGAGCCCTGCAACATCTGACCTGTAACTTCTCTAAAGGGTGACAAGGAACCATTGATGAACACTCGAGTATGCCCCTTCAACAAGCTATGAATTCACTCAACCATATATGATTTGCCTAGCCTATATTTTACCTTGTTTTCAAGGATTTTATAAGATGTCTTGAAAAAAGCCTTCCTGAAATCAAGATAAACTACATTCAGAACATTCTGTCAATCCACCAAGATTATAACGTTATCAGAAAAAGGGATGGGGGAGATTAGTCTGACATAACTTGCTTTTGACCCATGCTGGCTCTTAACAACCATTCCTTAAAAGAGCTCACAAACTGTTTGTGGGGCTCTGTGGGGCCTGTTTACTGTACCCTGCTTCATTGCTTTTCTCCCATTACATCCTGCTGGATAACAATTATTCTTGTGTATGCACCCTGACCTGATCCTCTGTTGCCATCTGCTAGCTTTCATCAAATGCCATCAACACCGGACTCCTGTGCCTGCTCCGTCTTCTGCCTAAGAAGACTTATCCATTCCTAACTACTGAACATCACTAAAGAGTCCCAACTGCAATCATGCCATTGCACTGTAAAGATGCAGTATTTTAAAATTTTAAATAGATTTAGTGCCAAACTGCAGTATTAACCAAGAACTATGTGGAACTAAAGATCCTGCTGATAAAAGCTACCATAGCTGCCAGATGTTATTCCAGTCCTTAACCACAGTGGGTTACTGCAATGCCCCAAATGGCATTGCAATGGTGTAGCATATTTAAAAACACTGATAGCAGTTTAGTCTTGAACAAGTTTAATGGCAAACTGTAGTACTGTATAGTCAAAAACTGTACGGAAGTGAAGAACTCATCACTGAAGAAAACCTAATAGAAAGACAACTCTGTCAGATGTTTTATCCAGGGTCCTCAGTCAGACTTGGGCAGGTGTGTCTTAGTTATTTGTTATGTTTCTACTGCAGTGAATCCAATAATAGCAAT